TGTGACTAAATTTACAATAAAAAAGTGTATACCTTTAAATACTAACGAGTAATTTGAGAATCCATTTCATAAAATCGAGATTTCATTATGACATAATTAGAACATCATCTTCCATTCCGACATGATTGCTGTCAGATACACCCATAATAAAAAATTTATGGTAATTATTTAATCATAAGAATTAAAATTGCAAAAGGAGATAGAGGTATAATGTAACATCCCGTTTAAAATAGAATAATTAAATAATAAACTCGTAACCCTAGAAGTAATTATTATTATTATTATTTTATATTATTATAGCCCAAAATCAAATAATAATTAGCGGGTGTTGTTTTGGGGTGCCAAATGATATAATTTTGATTTTCGGGGGTTAAAAGTGTAAGTTCGAGACTTATTTTGTAAGGATTTTAGAAGGCAGGGTGTAATGGGTAACCTTTGGACTCATTCTGGAAGGATTTATGGGAACTTGGGTATAAAGGGTAAATTACAGACTTCATTTGAAAGCAATTTTGTAGAAGAGGGGTCATTTGGTAACATTTGGACTTGACTTGTAAGAAAAGAAGAGAATGAGGGGCTATTTGCGTCATTCTGGGACAATCCTTATATGGGATGGGAATATAACCTAAAACTCGTCACCCACTAAACCCTAACCTTAATAGGGTGTTAGCTGCCACCCTCTCCACCCTTTTCCCTCCAGTCGCCACTAAACCCCCATTCTTCCTCCGATATCCAGCATCGTAACTCCCTTTCCTGTCGAGTCAAACTGTCTTCGCTAAAGTCGTCGAGCACCGCCACCACAACCTATGCTGGCTCTGACATCATGAATGGCCGGAAAAAAATCCACCAGGAGCAAGGCGCCACTATTACATCATTTTTCCGTTAATGGCGTCGCCCCTTATCTATTCACCTCACTCTTTTTATTTCCTTGCTCTACTGTTACCCGCCACTACCCATTTTCCGTTGAAGGCTAAGCTGTCGCCATGAACGCCTTTATGCCACCGTAAAATGGTGGTTGAGCTCGTGGATTCGTGAAGTTGTGGCATGTGTGTTGTTGTAACAAAGTGAAAACGGGGCATGTGAGTTTCTGATGAAGGCAAGTTGCGAAGGACCACCATGGCGGCTGCCGCCGATGACAAAGCTGTTACTGTTGCTGGCCGCTTTCTCGTGTCACCATCACTACCAGGAGGGTGGCTGGGTTCCGTTTACAAGCGGAAGATGTGTGGGTGTGTTCTACTATTAGTGTGTGGCTAGTTGACCGAATTTCACAAAAAAGGCCACCACCACCACCACCGTGAGGTGGTGGCTAGCACCTTCAACCACTACTTGTCGTCACAATGTGGTTGTGTGTGTTATTTATGTGTATGTATCTTAGTGTGTGTTTGTGTGTGTTTGGATATGGTGTTGTAACATTGTAATCGATCGGAATAGTAAGAAAACTCTAAACCATCACCGTAAGGTGGTGGCTGCCGCCTCCTGCCGTTACCAGCCGTCATGTTTGGCGGCGGTGTGCTTAGTTTACGTGCTGACTCATTTGGGATGCTTGGACAAGATGGGCCTGATGAAACCTTAATGGGCCCAATGAAGCCCTAAGTGGCCCAAACTCCCAACCAATTGACTACTGGGCTAGTATTGGGTTGGAAACCCTAATTAGGGTTTGGAAAACCCTAATTAAGGTTTGGAAAACCCTAATAGCATAAAACCCTAATTTTGGGAATTGATCGGGACACACACGAAAATTATTTAATAACCCTAAAATAATAATTAATAATCATTGGCAAATTAACCTAAGACAATACTGGACTTAATGAATTAAGTTTTTGACGTGTTAAGTAAGAAACACTTAACTCTAATCGTCATTTCATGTGGAAACCCTAATTTTCACTTGGGAGTGAGTGGGCCATTCTATTGGGTTTTGGTGATTGGACTATTAATGGGTTTCCAAGAATAAGTAAATGGGCTAAATAATTGTATGGGTTTTAGGATAAGGCCCATGTGAGAATCTTGGGCCTAATTTGGAAAATTAGGTCATAGATGGGCCATAACTAGGCCTTTATGATTATGAGATATTGGGCCATTGGTATACCAATAGCTTGGACTAGAATTAATGGATGGGCCTTAAGGAAAGACCATGTAGAGGCCTGGGATCAATTTAAAAAATTAGGCCATATGTTGTTAGGCTTTGTCCCATTACTTATTCGGCCTTTGGAGTGTGAGTTGGACATTGGGCTTGGAACCCAATTATTAATTGTGTATTGTTTAATGTTAGCAGTTTGGGAATTTGTCAATTAGCAGCTGTAGTTTCATCCGCGGGACTTCAGCAGTGGCCGATGAGTTGTCCTCACTATATTGACAGGGTCGAAGGCACCACTACAGACCCTTTTTGGATTTGTATTCGGTTTATTTACATGATATATTATTGATTTACATCCTGGTAATTAGGATGGCGATATGCTTAGTGACCTGGTTAGGTCGGTATCCTAGTATATAGGATGATACTATGTTAGTGACCGGTTAGGTCTGTATCCCTGTTATGGGATGTTGCTATGATTAGTGATTTGTTAGATCGGTTTGACTGTTATATGATATGAGCTAGCGTATGATATTTATGTGTACATGTTTGTTTGATTGGGGGTTGGGTTGAGGCAGTCCTGCTTTATGCTGTAGGCTAACATACCCAGGGCGGTCTGGATAGACTATAGATTTAGGAGGGTATGCTGGTCAGACCGAAGGCTCGAAGAGCGGTGCGGATAGGCTGAAGGCCCTAAGAGTGGTCCAGACGTGCTGAAGGCTTGAAGAGCGGTCCAGATAGATTGAAGGCTTGTGAGGCGGTCCAGTCAGGCTGAAGGCTCATTATGCATGTTGTTATGTATTTTTTATATGATATGGTTATATTTGCATGGCGTTGGTATTTTGGGGAAACTCACTAAGCTTCAGGCTTACAGTTATTGGTTATGTTTCAGGTACTTCTAATGATCGCGAGAAAGCGAATGCGTGATCGTGCACCTCCTCATATTTTCATGATTTGATTATGGGGATACCCTGATGCTTAAACTATTTTGAAAACAAATTGTACAAACCTAATGGTTTTAAATGTTTTAACAAGTTTTAAATTGGCTTGAATTTTATGGTTGTTACATATAAAGGACTTATAGAAACAAATTATTTCCTGGAATTTGCTAATTTCACCATCACCACCTGAGATGAATTTCCAACTCCACTATTTTAAGCAAGCTAAGAGAAAGGCAATGGGAGAAATAACCTAAATGGTTCCATACGATTGGTTATGATTTTCAATTCAAATCGGGAGCAGTTGAAGATGATGGCAATGTTAATGATTATTATTTATCAAACACATATCCGTGGAACAACAGCATAAACAACATGAATATCTAGAATCAAGCCCTAATTTATGTTTGTCCTCTACGATGCTTGTTTTCGGGGTTGAAATTCTTTTTGTAGATGATTGAAGTACATAAATCAATTAAATGAAAAAAACATGATCTGGTGATGAAATTATTAGACTAACTTGAAGTTGATTCGGGGATATCTTAAGAGAAACCAACATACGAAGCTTCCTAAAGGCTTTAGGAAGATTTATCGGACAAAGCAACCTCTTCAAGTTGATTCGCCAAGCTTTCTTTGATCTTCACTACCCGCGACCTAACGATATCAACGAATTAATGATTGGAGCACTCACCTAGGATTTTGAGTACATATCATACATGCATGGAATATAATTGAGTAGCTACGATGGTTATAAATAAGAGATATTAGGTCAACATATATTTATTTTGTTTTCTTAATTGCAAGTGCAAAAAACTAGAAGTACCCTTTTTGATTTAATTAATTATTGAATTATTTGCTAAATTGTGATTGGTGCATTTAGGAACATATTAATTGCTAGAAACATTTAAACGTATCTCCCCCCCCCCCCCCCTCTTTCTCTGTCTGTCTGTCTGTCTCTCCCTCCCTCTCTCTCTCTCTCTATATATATATAATATCGTTTTAGTTTCCAAAAAACATCAACTATCACAGTCTACGATCCAAGTTTCAAAATAAATAAATGGTTACGTATCTTTTATCCTATTCATTTGAATCCAACCTAGTAAATATCGATTATCAATTATATTTTACTATATGATTCATATGTATCTTTCGGAAATCACAACAAATTTAAACTATAAAAAACAGCCCATTACTCAATTGTGTTTACATAATCATTGTTCTAAAAAACATTATTTAAAACTAGAGTCTCCTAAGATCTTAAAACGAAGGATGTGTACGGTTTCGCCTTCGTCTTGCCACGGTCCTCAGAAGTACCTGAACCAAAACTAAAGTTGTAAGCCATCATTTAGTGAGTTTTCCCAAACTACCACAACTTAAACATAACAAACAAAACTTAGTGAGTTCCTCCAAAATACTACCACCTAAACATAACAAACAATAGATTGTCTGATCAAGATTCAATTAAAGAGCCTGTCGGATGTGTTAGTAGTAATCTATTCCAAGGAGACGAGGTGTGTTACTGAGATGGTAGCTAGGAAGTCAATGTGTGTCCCTTGTGGATTCTCAAAAGTAGGGGTAGGGAGTGCATGTGGCTTTATATGTTTTTAAAATTATAAATTATAAATTGGAAAAAATATGACATATGATCATTTTTTTTAATTAAATATATACACGAAATAAAACTTATTACCCATATAAATCATTAACACTAGAATGATACCACACTAAAAAAAGACTGCTAATGCAATAATCATACATCAACATATACTATTCTCGTAATTAACTCTAACATTTATTTAATAAAACATTACTTTTAAATGTAAGATGTCTTTATGGCAACGTCGACAATAGACATAAACACCGGGTTTATTAACTAACCGAGTCTTGCGCAATGTCGACAGCATATAACCCCTTCAAAAAACCGGGTTTGGTACCTAACCGACTCTATTTAATCGTTGAAAATAGTCAGTAGTCAGCTGAACTCGTGATATCCACGGGATCTGATTAAAGGATATTTTATTTCATTCCTTTTTTGCTTCCTCCTGTCCCAAGTCGAATACGTGGGCCAACTCTGTCACGTTCTAGTCCCGTTGGAGGCGTTAATTCAGACGTGTCTTTCATAGCTCTCGTAATTCGTAAACCCTCTCTCTCTCTCTCTCTCTCTCTCTCGACTCGATACTCGATACTTCACTTGCACCGAACGAATCCATCCTGATTCCTTTTCCCCCCAATTTCTTCCTCCCATTTCTCCCGTTGATACCGTTACCAGGATATGGAATAATCAACATCAAAATCAAAATCAAAGTCAGAATCAGCCTCTAAGATGTTGGAGGATCAAGTAGCGCATTTGTTGCAGAGGTATCTCGGCAACTATGTCCGTGGCCTCAGTAAAGAAGCTCTCAAAATCAGCGTCTGGCAGGGTATAAAATCATCGTCATCATCATTCTTCTACTTTTTCTTGATATACTTTTTTCGCTATGATCACTTTACTGACGGACTTTTTTAAAATTTCCTGTGGTCGTTTTTTTTTTTTTTCATGTTTCGTGTGTGTATTGTTTGCTTTAGGGTTTATAGGTTTGTGCAGCCGGCCTCAATGTTACTAGTGTTCGTGTTATGTAAAAGGAATATAGAATGGATGGTTGTTTGGTAATATGAACAATGCTATTAGTTTCTGAATTTGAAATGATGGTTGCGTTGCTGGCGGTGGTGTGCACATACTTATTATGGCATGAAACTGGGAATAGAAATTAGGAATGTTACAGCTCTGTGTGACAGTCCATTAGAATTGCTCAATTGGTTTACTGACTTCAGACGGCTTCTGGCTTGCACTTTAGGGTGGTATGTAGTTCTTCCAGTAGGGGTAAGTGGATGACAGTGGGGGCGAGTGATAACTGAACTGATGAGAGCCTGCCGCCTGTTGGTTTAATGGTTTAGGGCCAATAAAACAGCAACATTTGTGTACTGTGAAATACTGAATGTTGTAACCTGCTAAGTGTGTGCCCTATTCATTTTCAGTTTCCCATAACTAAGTTGAGTTCCAAGAAGGCCACTGTAGGTATGTAAAGCTAGTAACCAACTTTGGCCTAGGATAATAGCCTTGAAATGGATAGAGTGGGCATTTTGTAATTCATTCATCAGTAATTACAGTAATGTGGTCAGATGTGTGAGATGAATGTGCTTTTAGGCTTAGGTGGTTCAGGAGGTGTTGGTGCATTGGAGTTATGTATTAATACTAGTTAATGGTTATGGTGTAGATTATTGTTTATATGTCAGTTATTTAACATCCCAAGCCGAACTCAGAGTCTTGCATAATAACCTTCAAATCAAATTAAAATGATGTAGTCTAGTTATCAGTAGCCCACTACTTAGGATGTCACAAATTTCATGCTATATCTTAATGAAGATCCTTGTATGATTGTATCTTGAATCAAATGTTGGTCTAGTTTGAAACCTTTGTTGCCTATCTTTTTTGGTATATGCATATAAAGTTTCCAAAATTTGACTCCTCCATGTCAAATTTATCTCATACGCTATATTTTGAAATTCAATTGTTTGGTTTGTGACAGGCGATGTAGAATTAACAAATATGCAACTGAAGCCGGAGGCACTAAATGCGCTGAAGTTGCCTGTGAAGGTTAAGGCAGGGTTCCTCGGATCAGTGAAGCTCAAGGTGGGGGTTGATAAGTCTTCTCTTAATCACATAGAGAACGTTGGAAGATGTCTGAAAGCATATTAATTAATGGGGACTTCTTATCTGCTTATTATCTGTAATTATTTAAGTATCTTTATGGTATTTATATTTCTCAGGTTCCTTGGAGCAGGATTGGTCAAGAACCAGTTTTGGTATACTTGGATCGTATATATTTGCTAGCTGAACCTGAGACCCAAGTTGAAGGGCATAGTGAGGATGCTGTTCAGAAAACTAAGAAGTCCCGAATACATGTAAGACATTAGTATACTGTTGTAAGATGTCTGATTTGATGATCCTCCAAATAACTTTTTATTATTATTGAAATAGGACATGGAAATGAAGATGCTGGAGAGTAGGCAGATATTGACCACAGAGATGGTATGCGCCTAAATTTAAAACCTCACCTATCTGGTACCATATAGTTTTCCCCTTTATAGAAGAAGCTCTAGCAATCTGCAGATAATTTGTCTCCTTGTTTGCTACTTTGCTACATGAAACTATTGAAGAAGTATTTATATCTGTTTTAACAAGGATAACATGTTAAAATAATGCATGCTGACTTGCCCATTCAATCAAGTAACATGTTCATTTTATTTTCTTTAAGAATAAATCGTGGCTTGGATCCTTCATCGAAACAATAATTGGGAATTTAAAGCTGTCGATATCAAGTATTCATATCAGATATGAGGACACTGAAAGGTAATTAACTTCAAATGCTCTTTGTTGTCTTGTCACTGTGTTTCCAGCTAATTCCTTTTCTATTTTAGCAATCCTGGCCACCCATTTGCAGCTGGCGTGACCTTGGAGAAGCTCTCAGCTTCGACAGTTGATGATAGTGGGAAGGAGGCTTTTGTCACTGGTGGTGCATTAGAGCTCCTCCACAAGGTCTTTTTCTACAAGCTTTACATTGTTGGATGCAATTACTTAATGTCATTCACATGTCCACTTTTCTTTTTAATATGCTTTATATACTGTTTTGATATTATTTGGAACTAATCTAACTTGTTTGAATTGATGTTTTTTTTTAAAAAAAAAAACTTGGGTATCATGTTTTGAGATTCTTTAGTTAGTTACTTTATTTCTCTTATGGGTATTTTGGTCTTCTAGTATTTATCTATTCTCCAAGTTGGTGATAGGGTTATTGTTCCTTGTAACAGGGCCATGATCTAGTGGGGTTCTATTATTATATTACCAAACATTATTATTGATATTAGCTGATATAGTGAATTGTCATATTGATTATCGGTTTTGCTGTCATAACTTTTTCCAGTCTGTAGAACTTGAAAGGCTGGCTGTTTATTTGGATTCTGATATCACTCCATGGCACATTAAGAAACCATGGGAGGATATGAAACCCTCTGAATGGGATCAGGTATATATTCACCGGTGTAAATTGATCTTTTAGATTTCATCTGCCATGTCATTGTACTAAGATCTACTTCAGGTCTTCAGTTTTGGCACAAAAAATGGAAAACCAGCCAGTGCTCTTGCTCAGAAGCACACATACATTCTACAACCTGTAACCGGAAATGCTCAGTACTCAAAACCACGTTCAAATTCATCTATTCGAGATCAACCTTTACAGAAAGCAGTAGTGAACCTGGATGATGTCACAATTTGTTTGCCAAAGGTCAGCAAGTCTTTATTCTATCTGGTGACTTCATTATGCGAGTGAGTGAGTCTGATGATTATTTTAATTATGTTGCTCTAATAAGCATTCCTTTCACAAAATTACAGAGTGGTTATAGAGATGTGCTGAAGTTAGCTGATAACTTTTCTGCGTTCAATCAGCGATTGAAATATGCTCATTTTCGGCCTCTTGTCCCGGTGAAATCAGATCCAAAAGCATGGTGGAAGTATGCCTACCGAGTCGTTTCAGACCAGATAAAGAAGGCAAGGTATTGACCTCCCCTCTAGCATCTCACTTTCTTAGTTATTTGGTTACTTTTTTTTTTTCTCTACTTGTTAAGAAAATATTTTGTTTTGAGAAAATGAGTTTTCTAACCATCATTCTTGTAGTTTCATATCAAACTACTATCTTATGCCTGGGAATTTTCCATTATATATTTATATAATACTATTTGTGGTGGTAGCGGGAGAATGTCTTGGGAGCAGGTCTTGAAATATGCAACCTTACGTAAAAGATACATATCTTTGTATGCTTCACTGCTAAAAGCTGACCCTGGTCGAGATGTCATTGATGATGATAAAGACATAGAGGAACTAGACCGTGAACTCGATATTGAGCTCATAGTTCAATGGAGGTATAATTTTCTTTCCGAGGTTTTAGTTATAGATCTTTTAGCATGTCATTATTTCTATATTAGTCAAGTTGACCAGACTGTTGAAAGTAGAAAAGGACTCCTTTTTCACTGCATTAAATCTAATCCCTTATGATATGCGTAGGATGCTTGCACACAAGTTCTATGAGAAGTCGCAGTCTGATATTGCCATGAAGAAAGAGAAAACAAAGAAATCATGGTTTTCATTTGGATGGTAGTACCTTTACTCTCTTTTCTTTTCTCTATATCACGTGGCAAGACTTTTGTATATTTAATTGATTGCATTGTGTGGTTTTAGGGGCAACGGAACTGCTGAAGATGATAATCAACCTTTGCAATTCACGGATGAGGACTGGAAACAATTGAATGACATTATTGGATACAAGGAAGGTGATAATGATGAGCAGTCGGGGAATAAAGACGAGCAGGGGGATGTCCTTCGAACATTGATAGAGGTTCACATGAAACATAATGCTTCAAAACTTACTGAAGCTCATGAGTTTGTTGCTGAGTTGTCATGTGAGAACCTCGATTGTTTGATGAAGTTTTACAAAGATGCAAAAATTATTGACATGAAATTGGGATCTTACCGGTTGTCATCTCCTGATGGTCTCCTTGCTGAGGTTAGGCTCTTAATACATTTGTGTATGTGTGTCTGACTGCTATAGTATATATGATTGTTTAAATACTTGGGTTCTGATTTTTTGATGCAGAGTGCGACATCCTCTGATTCATTAGTTGGGGTCTTCAACTATAAACCATTTGATGCTAAAGTGGACTGGAGTATGGTTGCTAAGGCATCTCCTTGTTATGTTACAGTATGTTTTTATTTTCATTATGTATGTACTCTTTAAGGAAATAGGTTTTGATCTGATAAGATGTCTTTTCTCAGTATCTGAAGAACTCCATCGATCAAATTACAAACTTTTTTGAAAGCAATGCTGTGAGTCAGAAGATAGCGTTGGAAACTGCTGCTGCCATGCAGGTTTTGTTTCTAGAATAACTCAATAACGTGCTTTCCACTATCTCTGTGTGCTCTTTTCATTGTACGTTGCTGACAGCCATATTATTTGTTTAGCTTACAATCGATGAGGTTAAGCGCTCTGCACAACAACAAGTAAACAGGGCCTTGAAGGAGCATGCCAGGTGTGTAACTTACTTCATGTGGTGATAATACCTTTGGCCATTAAGGAGAACATCATATTACTTGATTATAGTTAGTTGTTCACTAGATGTGAATTTTGTCTCCATCTTTTAAGTTGTGTGCCTGGGGGTGGACATTTCTCCAAAATAACTTTCATATTTCTTTGGAATTCTATTTGCCTTCCTTGACCCTTTCCGATTTCATTAGTCAAGTGTATGATCATAGGCTTGTCCGTTTCTCTTTCTAATTATACCATTTGCTTTTTTGAATGGTTATGTGTTGATGATTAAGAATGCTTCATTTACTAAGCAAATTGTGACACTTGGTTTAACTTGCTACTAGGTTCTTCTTGGACTTGGATATAGCAGCCCCCAAGATCACCATTCCAACTGAATATTGTCCGGACAATCTTCATCCCACAAAACTCTTGCTTGACCTGGGAAACTTGATAATCCGTACTCAGGTTGGTCCATAGTGATTTCTCTTTGATCAGCCCAAATATCCTTAAATGATAACTTTTTCATAAAATTTCTCAAACATGCACAGGATGATGATGATGACGTTTCTCATGAGAAGGATATTTATCTCCAATTCGGTGTAGTATTGAGTGATGTATCTGCTTTTTTTGTTGATGGTGACTATCACTGGAGTCAACGTTCGCTGACAGGAGGATCCGGCGGTTCTTCACAGTCTAGTATCGTTAGTTTCTTGCCTATTATTGATAAGTGCGGTGTGACTTGTAAGCTTCAACAGGTAAATTCATTTCAAGTTTTAAACATGATTGTTATTGTATGTTGTCAGTTGATAACACTTCATCTCTGTATCTAGATCCAGTCAGAGAATCCATCTTTCCCCACAACAAGATTGGCCGTGCGGCTTCCTTTCCTAGGATTTCACTTTTCTCCGGCGCGTTATCATCGACTGATGCAAGTTGCAAAGATCTTTCAGGGAGAGGATAGTGATAACGAAGGTCTTGTCCGCCCTTGGGATCAAGCTGACTTTGAGGGCTGGTTAGATGTTCTTAATTGGAAGGTTAGAACCACTCCTGCTTTCATCCAATCCAATCTTAAACTTTTGGAATTTTTTTATATATCGTTATTTTGTTGTAGGGTGTGGGAAATAGGGAAGCTGTCTGGCAGAGGAGATATTTCTGTTTGGTGGGCCCTTTCCTGTACGTGCTTGAAGCGCCTGGCTCTAGGTCATACAAACAATCTTTCAGGTGCTTATATTTTTAACTTCTGGGTGTTTTTTTTTTTTGTGTTTCCATGTTTGTACTTAGCATACTTCCGGATTGGCTGTTTTGATGTTGATTACTTGTCTTATTTGCAGCTTGCTTGGAAAACAAGTATATGGCGTCCCATCTGAAACTATTGGCGATGTAGAAAATGTGTTGGCTGTCTGTCGTACAGAACGATCCATCAGCAAGGTTGTTTAGCTATTCTCTCACAGAGCATTTTGGTTAACCAAAAGAAACAATATTCTTATGTGTAATCAATCTATTTAATTGGTTTGATGGTCTGTTTCTCATTTGCATACGTTCATCTGTAGGTTGTGGAAGATGCAAATGCTCTGATATTACGATGCGAATCAGAGGAATCAAAGACAAACTGGAAACACTTATTGCAGGGGGCTATTTATCGGGCATCGGTAACCATTTTTGGCTCTCTTTGATTTATAGCTATTTGTGTGATTGCACTTGCTAAGTTTACCTTGCACTACGATGTCTTTACAAATATACCAGTATTGTTTTCCTTTCATATATTTTAATGTGAATGTCTGGAAGAAATTACAGGATCCTTTACCTGTTTCCATGCAGGGTTCCGCTCCCATCACTGGTCTATTGGAAACTTCGTCAGAGTCAGAAGATTCAGAAATTGAAGAGGTTCAGAAGCTTGATATGAAGGATGTTTCAAATACAGAGAAACTGTTTATAACCGGTGTTCTAGATGAGCTGAAACTGTGCTTCAATTATAGTACACAGGTAAAAGTGCTTTTGAAGTAGTTAGTCGAATTTGCACTGGCACAGGTAAACCTGACATTTCCTTTGACTTGTGTAGACCGACCGGAATCTTATAAAGGTGCTTCTGGCTGAGGAGATTCGTTTGTTTGAACTGCGGGCAATAGGTGGTCGGGTGAGATTTATTTGCATTACTTTTTACAAGTCTGTAAATTTTATTTCTCATTTGAGTTCATGTTTCTGAACAGGTTGAGATTTCAATGAGAGCAAGTGATATGTTCATTGGAACTGTCCTGAAAGCATTGGAGGTAGAAGATTTAGTATCATGCAAGGGGTCCCGCAAACCTGTTTACTTGGCACGGTCATTTATACGTCATGCAGATGCTCCTTCTGTGTTTGATACTATCGAAGATCAGAGTTATGGTGGCAGCGATAAAAATCAAACCGAAGGAGATGATAGGTTTTATGAGGTATCTGATAGCCTAAATGATCCAGGAGATAGCCCAGGGCCATCAAAAGGAACAATTTTGAAGACCCCAAGTTTTACCCGCATTGCTGGTTTGTTACCTGATGATGTTAATCAAGATGGGGAAAATAATTTGGAAGTTACCGACACATTAGACAGTTTTGTGAAAGCTCAAATTGTTTTCATTGATTCCAACTCTGCTTTCTATGATAACGTTGATAAACGTGTGAGTTTCTTTCCCTGCTTTCATTGGTTCTTTCTTTGTAAGCAATTGTTGGAACTCAAGGTCCTTGTTTTTTTTTTTTAACTTCAGGTGATGGTTACTCTAGCAACCTTATCGTTTTATTGTAGAAGGCCTATACTTGTAGCAATTATGGAATTTGTTAGTGCTATCACTGTTGAGGATGACAATCTGGAATCTTTCAGTGATCATTCTTCAACAGATGATGTGAATGATAGTTCTCGGGAGGTTGAAGTCAATAATCGGTCACCTGCTGTTGATGAGTTGAAAGTCACAGGTCTGCTGGGAAAGGGTAGGTCTAGAGTGGTATTCCTTTTGACACTGGAGATGGCACGTGCTCAAATATTGTTGATGAAAGAAGATGGAACTAAGCTTGCTACTATGTCTCAAGATAATTTCACAACTGATATAAAGGTTCATTTGACTTCTTTCTTTAAAATACCAGTGAATCTACGTATTAAAACGGTGTCCTTCTAAAATAATTTAATTTGTGTAATTATCTTTTCTTCCTCAGGTCTTCCCATCTTCTTTTAGCATAAAGGCATCTCTTGGGAACCTGAGAATAAGTGATGATAGTCTTCAGAGCAGTCATATGTATTTCTGGGCATGTGATATGAGAAATCCTGGTGGTAGTTCATTTGTGGAGGTAATGTAATTTGATTTTTTTTTTTTTTTTTTTTATTTATCTTCAAAAAATGGCTGTAGTGAGGTATGTGAAGGGTCTGAATGTCTGATACCCTCTTCTTTGAGGTATAATTTTTGTACTATGAAAGTTCCATAGCTCACATGCCATCTTGTTGTGTAGTTCCGATCTGTTTTGATTGGTTGGTTTGGTGCATAAGTGCATTGAGTGTCAGTTTTGTCCCGAATCGACACAACTTAGCTCGTAGCTTTCCTTTCTTGCTTTAATCTTCATCTAGTTATTTATTGACCCACAATAGAATGAATTGCTTGTGTCCATGTTTGTAATGCATGCATGGGGCATACTGTACTCCCTGCAACATTTAAGCACTATGCAGATTGGTGTTTTGAAACAATGAGTATATGATAATATTAGTTAATGTATTTCTTCTAATTGCTTCTTGTTGTTGGTTTCTGCCATTTACACCCGTACACATGTCAAATTGATCACATTTTTCTTATTTGTCAAATCTACAGTTGGTTTTCAGTTCGTTTAGTGCTGATGATGAGGACTATGGTGGGTTTGATTATAGCTTTACTGGACAGCTTTCTGAAGTACGAGTGGTGTTCTTGAGTCGATTTATTCAGGAGGCAAGTTTTCTCTTCTTCTTGTTATATCTGATGTATTTTGCTATTGCTTAGGTTGGTGTTTTGTTTGCCTGTAGATTATCAGTTACTTCATGGGCCTTGTTCCTAACAACTCAGTGGCTGTTGTAAAAGTAAAAGATCAAGTAACAGATTCAGAGAAGTGGGTTAAAACAAGTGAAATTGAAGGCTCACCTGCTATAAAGTTGGACCTTTCGTTGAGGAAACCAATAATTCTAATGCCTCGTAGAACAGACAGCCCCGAGTAAGAGTTGAATTCTGTAACTAATTAATCATGTTTTGTGCCTGATCATGTTGTCTATATGTAAAATGGCCTACTAGTCTTTGAGGGTTGTCACATATATCGTCCTTGTTTTGTTGTTGCAGTTATCTGAAGCTAGATATTGTTCATATTACTGTTCAGAACACTTTCCAGTGGTTTGGGGGTACCAAAAGAGAGATGAATGCTGTTCATTTGGATATAATGTCGGTCAAGGTGAGTCCTACGATTCGACTTTGGGTTAAGTACTAAAAAAGTTGGCATGGTAAAATCTGTGTTGTTAACGAATCTGGTACTAGAGGAAGTAATCTAATTGCTTAACATAGAATGGAATCTGAATGATCTTTAAGGTTTCCCTAATGAGAGCTTTCTTTTGGTAGTTTGAGGACATCAACTTAAATGTTGGCATGGGAACTGAATTGGGTGAAAGCATAATACACGATGTGAAGGGCGTTTCCATTGTTATTCGGAGGTCACTTCGTGATTTGTTGCATCAAGTTCCAAGTATAGAAGTTGCCATTGAGGTATTACAACTCATCTTCGTATGTAAATATGTAATATGATTTAAGAGAGATGCTGGTGACACTGTTACTGTCTCATGTCTGCGAAAGCTTCAAAATTCAAATTCACTGCTGTAATATTCTTGAAGGTGTCATTTTTCAACTTATATGATGTGTGTTTTATCACTTATTCAGATAGGTGAACTGAAAGCGGCTCTCTCCAATAAAGAGTATCAAATTATTTCAGAATGTGCACTGTCCAACATCTCAGAGACTCCGAATGCTATTCCCTCTTTGAACAACAACAGTGCTGTGTCGGCTTCTGCTGATGTTGTTGAATCTTTAGTTCTTCAAGATTCTGAAGGTCGTGAACATGGAGCTGAAAATGAACAGACTTGGATTTCTATGAAGCTTTCTGTTGTTGTTGGTCTTGTTGAATTATCTCTTCATTATGGGATGGCTTCGGATGCAGCTCTCGCGACACTGCAGGTACTCCTTGACACTTAAAGTTTTTCTTTAAAATTTCATTTTCGTCAATCTTGTGCAGATTCAGTGTTGCACTGCATTTTAGGGGTTGTTTCTTGCTGACTTAAAGAGCTGTGATTGAACTAGAAATCTGGAAATGAAAGCTTGCATTTGATAGTGAGGTTTAAGCCTCAATATATATACAAAGGGAATACCAAAACAGGAAATGTTTAAAAGCAACTTAAGACACAATAAAACCCTATTCTATTTCTATCCTTAGATGAGCTAAGCCAAAAAAAAAACATGCTTAATGTACTAAGACACCAACCCATGCCTATCTGCGCTTCTTGTTTTTTTCACCCAACTCCTCTCATGTTAAACTTGATGAATATTGTGAAGTTTGTTTATTGGAATGTAAGGGTAAACTGATCATTTAATCTCATTCAGAAGGTTTATTAAGTCTAGAAAAGAAAAAAACCTTATGTATACAGCAGTTGATCCAGAGTGACAAACATCATTACTCATTAAGCCACTTGATGACTTAATGGAGAAAAAAAGAAACAAACTCTTACTTGTTCGCTTATGTGGCTCTTTGTCTCAGGTGAGTGGGCTATGGATGCTATACAAAGCTAATACACGGGGAGAAGGTCTTCTGTCAGCGAGCCTGAAGGGATTCACTGTGAATGATGACCGTGAGGGGACAGAAGAAGAGCTTAGGCTAGCTGTGGGGCAGCCCAAGAGTCTGAGATACAGTCCAGATTATGAGGTTCACAATGAGGAGAACCAAATGGTGAAGGCAGACGATGTGAAATATGACCAGATATTAGGAGTTCCCACAATGTTAATCCTTGATGCTAAATTTAGTCAGTATTCAACCTCATTGTCATTATGTATCCAAAGGCCACAATTGCTTGTTGCACTTGACTTCCTAATGGCGGTTGCTGAGTTTTTTGTACCTACTGTACGTGGCATGCTGTCAAATGAAGTGGATGAAACATCATTATATGTAGTTGATGCACTTGTTTTGGATAAACCAGTTTTTAGTCAAAGCGATGAGGTGTTGATACTCTCTCCTCAGAGGCCTTTGGTGGTTGATGGTGAAGATTTTGACCATTATATTTATGATGGTAGAGGTGGAACTTTGTTGTTACAAGACAGAGAAGGACAAATGATCTCTTCTAGAAGCATAGAAACTATTATACATGTTGACAGTGGTAAACGATTGCAATTCAAAAATGTCACCATCAAGGTATGTTTTCGCTTTTGATGCTGGTTTGATTGTTTTTCTTCTTCCGAACTTATGAAAATCAAATTTATTCATGCAGAATGGAGAATATCTGGACTTATGTGTTTCCCTAGGGTCCAACAGCAGTTTCTCAGCTTTGGAAGATGATCAAGTCTTTTTGGAAGAGGAGGAAAGTAGCTCACCAAATACTCAAGAGGAAACTACAAAAGATTTGCCTTCTCCAAACAATACAATGAGCAGACCCACGGAAACTTCCATCGAGTTGCAGGTGAATGTATTTTTCTGATAGCAGTCCATAGCATAGCGTAAGGTTAATTTTTCAATGATTATATCATTACCAAACCTGGGTCTATAAACCTTTTGCTTCCCGAGCAAACACCACTTGAACTTGACATTACATTCGTTCTTCCTTCTAACATCAATTTTTTCGTATCATCTAAAGAAAAAACTCATCTCAGTTAGTGAATTGTAGGCCATCGAAAAATAAGAGAGAACTTAAGACAATACTTCCATCAATGTTAATGTTCTTCCCTCCAAGTTTCCTATTATGACGCCGATTTAGAGTTATCCTTTTTCTCTTGTATAATCTGTCATTACAACATATCACTTAATCCATAGACATTGGCTCTAAAAGATGTACAAAGATCACTTTACTTTTCCCCCAGTCCCAAAAATGCAACATTTTCTCTCTTATTTCAGTTTAAATTTACATCTTAACTCATGTGCAATCTTGAGAAGATATCTATTACATTTATTTTCGTCCCACAAAGTCTCTCTTATTCAACCATGTGTCATGTTGAACATTACATTATCTTGGGAGGAAGGAGTATGATATTATTTGTGTACACCTTGGGTTGTGATAATGTGGCTTAATATCTTACAGTCAACTCCTATTTGTTTCTTCAATAATATTATTTTCTACCATATGTGGATGGTCTTCCCTTATTGCCATTAAATGGCTATTGATGCAAATTTATACTACATTAGCACAAACAAATACTATCAAGAAATTTAACTGTAATCATTTACTTTTCTGACGTTAGTTCATTTCATTTATGTAGTAAGTACTTTTATATCCTTAGCATTTTTTCTTAAAAACTTCAAAGCTTCTAAGCTAAATAGTCTAAAATCATTTTTGTGCCCTCACCACTGCAATTTCTAGATTGACCCTTAATAATAGGACTGACTACTGTAGTACTAAACCAGTTTTGTTATTCTGTTTAGACACTCATGATAACCTTGTTCATGAAGCTACTAACAGCAGGGTTGCTGCTGTGACATGCCAATATTTCTCATCTTACTTCTCTGCTGTCTTATTTGCTAGTATGTCTGTTCTTATACATAATTTTTTTTTGCAGGTTATAAGCCCCGAGCTTACATTCTATAATTCATCAAAATATGTAGGAGAGTCTCCTCTCTTCACAAACAAGTTTTTGCATGCAAGATTGGATGCCTTCTGCAGGTCTCTCTTTCTTGCCTTCATGAATTTTGTTGATTAAATTTCATGGGTGCCCTAAATTTGTATTTGGTCCTTTTCATACTAAAGCTAGTGTTGCATGTTACTGGATGATTTGGGTATTGGAAAATGATAGGCCCTGAATCCTGATTCTTTCTTGAATAAGACACAGATTTCATTGATAATCAAACTATGAACTGATAAGATAGATTAGGGTTTTCTCATTCATTCGAGAGAAATGGACTCTCCAAGAAGAACAAAGTTCTTAACAATATAATTCTTAACTGCTCAACAAAAACCTCAAGAAGCAAATAAATAGAAAACAAGACTCAGGGGAGCGGTCCCCAAACAGACCTAGGACAATGTCAGTGCTCCCACAAACAAAACAACCAATAACAACCATAACTCCTAAAAAGACCATTCTATTCCTAAAGCCAAAAAGATAGCAGAATAACAATTATAAAGCAGATCAACTAAAAGCCCTCTAGGATTACTTGGGGCTTATCAGAAAAATGCTTATAAATTTGTTCCTTTCTATGGCATATAGGTACTGAAACTCAAACATGATTTTGCAATCGTCTATTTATCATTTTTCTTCTTATTTTCTATCCCTAAATGAATGTCTGTCTTCTAAATACGGTTAAACATAAATCTTCTCTTTTTGATTAACCAATCTTCACTTTTTGTTTAATAAAATGAATAAGCACTATTTTCTCATTCCATTTTGTGTGTGTTAGTTTGTATGTGGTGGATGGGTCCAAAACCTGGCTCCCTTGAAACCTATATCCAATATATTCTAAACTGAAGGAAAGTGGCCAGTACTTTCTGAGAGAAATCTGAAAGGAGTAGGTTAATTCTTATGGTTGGGTGAGAGGAATCGCTGCATATTTTGAGAGAGAGATAGAATGATTCTTTTATGAATAACTTTTTGTTCTGGTTCATGTTTATAAGCTGGAGGTTGAGGGTTTTGTTCTAGGTTTATGATTTACTTTTTAAACGATCAACGTATTAAAAAAAGCTTTCATGTTTATCTGCTGTCTATAGGCTCGTGCTGAAGGGCGATACAATAGAAATGAGTGCAAATGCTCTTGGTTTAACTATGGAGAGCAATGGGATCAGAATTTTAGAGCCTTTTGATACTTCTGTCAAGTTCTCAAATGCCTCTGGGAAGACAAATATCCATGTTGCAGTTTCAGATATATTCATGAATTTTTCTTTCAGCACATTACGGCTATTTTTAGCAGTTGAGGAGGATATATTAAAGTTCCTAAGGATGACATCCAGGAAAATGACGGTTTCCTGCTCCGAGTTTGACAAGCTTGGCACATTTCAAAGTAAAGATCTTGTCTACTTTTTGTTGATTCTGAGAAGAATACTTGTTTATCAGTCAATTAAATTAAAAATTCCGAGTGTTCCAGGTGCCCACAACAACCAAACATATGCATTTTGGAGACCGCATGCACCACCTGGCTTTGCTATTCTTGGCGACTACATGACAGCAACGTTGGTGAATCTTTTAAGATTTAGGGTTTTCCATATTACAGTTGTGTATGTGTACTGTTCTTTCTTATTATCATCATTTGCCTCTTTGTTACAGTGACAAGCCACCATCAAAGGGAGTTCTTGCTGTGAATACTCGCTATGTAAAGATCAAGAAGCCCGAGGCCTTCACACTAGTTTGGCCCCCTTCTGATTCCGAAGGTGCTGGCGACCTTGAGCTTGTCCCTGAAGATGGGGAAGAAAGCTGTTCCATTTGGTTTCCGGTTGCACCAAAAGGATATGTTGCCTTGGGATGTGTGGTTTCTCCTGGAAAGACACAGCCTTCGCTCTCCTCCGCCTTCTGCATACATGCTTCTTTGGTATCTCCATGTGCGCTAAGGGACTGTATCACAATTAACTTTGGTGACATGTATGTGAAATTCTCAATTCAGTAAACCTAGATATCGAGTATTCTATTGACTTATTCTTTACTTTGCAGAAGTTCTCCTGGATTGGGATTTTGGCGTGTGGATAATTCTCTTGGCACCTTCCTTCCAGCAGATCCAGGGACTTTGAACATGTCCGGTAGAGCCTATGAGTTGCATCATATACTTTTTGGTTTCCGTGGAGTATCTTCAAAATCATCAAAGGGTTCAGACTCCCCAGCACTTCCTTCTAATCGTGATAATACTCAATCAGAGAGGTCATCAACTGCAACTTCTGGCAGGCGGTTTCAGGCGGTTGCTAGTTTTCGTTTGGTATGGTGGAATCAAGGTTCAAAATCTAGAAAGAAGTTATCCATATGGCGCCCTATTATTCCTCAAGGGATGGTGTATTTTGGTGATATTGCTGTTACAGGCTATGAGCCTCCAAACACATGCATTGTTCTTCCTGAAGATGATGAGCCTTTTAAAGCTCCTATCGGTTTTCAAATTGTCGGTCAAATAAAGAAACATAAAGGGGCTGAAAGTATATCTTTGTGGCTGCCTCAGGCTCCCCCTGGCTATGTTTCCTTGGGGTGTGTAGCCTTTAAGGGCTCACCAAAGCAATCTGATTTTGACTGTTTGAGATGCATGCGCAGTGATATGGTCACCGGGGATGAGTTTTTGGAGGAGAGTATATGGGATACCTCTGATATACGGTTCTCCAAAGAATCATTTAGCATATGGGGAGTTGGTAATGAGCTTGGAACCTTCATGGTCCGCAGTGGCTTTAAAAAACCTCCCAGGAGGTTTGCTGTAAAGCTTGTGGATTCTGATACACCCACTGGTTCAGATGACACGGTCGTTGATGCAGAAATAAGAACCTTCTCTCTCGCGCTTTTTGACGATTATGGTGGCATGGTAAGCGTTATACTTTTCATTGCTGAACTTCCTTTCCTTCTTGATAACCTTTAAACCTTAAACTGCTTGTCCTATTGTATTAAAGTACATTTTTATGCATTTATAAATGGTTTAGTGTTATCCTCCACATTGATAACTGGGATCTGAATTGTTTCATATGTTTTGAATTGCAGATGACACCATTGTCTAACATATCATTGAGCAGTATAGGATTTAGTCTCCATAGCAGGCCTGATTACCTCAACGCCACTGTTTGCTTCTCATTGGCCGCCAGATCATATAATGATAAACTTGAAGCTTGGGAGCCTCTTGTTGAACCTGTTGATGGTGTCTTAAGGTAGGTTATCTATTTCTCTAGAATTTTGCAAATAGATTTTAGTGATAAATTTCTGAAGGGATCCCTTTTCTCTTTCTCTCTCCTTGTTTGGTTTCAATATACAGGTATCAAAATGATGTCAATGCTCCAAGTGCTGCATCTCAATTACGGCTCACCACTACAAGGGATCTCAACATAAATATAACAGTGTCTAATGCTAATATGCTTATTCAAGCTTATGCAAGCTGGAATAATCTTAGCCAAGTTCATGAACCCTCTAGTGTTAGGGTAATTTTCTGGTTTCCTTGGTGCATAACAAATTTTTAGTATTCCTGGATTAGTGAGTGATTCTTTCTCTCATGTGGTCCTTATAACAGGAAGCAATCTCTCCATCATATGAGGGGCCTATCATCGATGTTCATCACAAGAAAAATTATTTCGTGATCCCGCAAAATAAACTTGGGCAGGATATCTTTGTTAGAGCTACTGAAATCAGGGGACTTCCACATGTAATCAAGATGCCATCTGGAGAAAAGAAGTCTTTGAAAGTACCAGTTTCCAAGAACATGTTGGATTCTCACTTGAAAGGAAATCTTTACAAGAAACTACGATCAATGGTGACAATCATCATCTCACAGGCACAGGTGTGCTCCCTTGTCAATCTTTGCTTTCTTTATTAATGGTACCAGAGCTTTCATTAGCCAACCTGATTTACATTAACTGTTGGGCTTCATTAGCAAATCATTCTCCCTTTTTGTACAAAAAAACTAGTTAACTGGGCTGTTACTAAACTTGTTGTTGGGTTATTTTTCGTACAAGTTTAATGTTCCACATATTAAATGTTTCCATGATCTTATATTCTCTTTCATATCAGTTTCCTAAAGTAGAAGGACTGGGTTCTCACCAATATGGCATTGCCGTCTGTTTAACTCCTGGCCAAAGCTCCTCCAATGGCATCCTTCTTGGTCGGCAAAGTGCACGTACATGTGGTGCCAGCTCCAGTAGTGACAAATCTTCTGATCTTGAATTGGTTACATGGAATGAGATTTTTTTCTTCAAAGCAGATTCACTGGTTAGTAATTTACATTTTTTCTTTATGTTTGTCCTTAACTGAAAGCAACCTGGTTTATGATGGAATGAACGTTTATAATATCCATCTTCCCTAGATGATGGTTTCTGATTTTAGTGCAGATTACCGACACATCATTGACCAATTTTTGTAGTTTTTGGGCTCTGGGTGCTTTCTTATTTTAATCTACTACTTCTATGATGTCCATCTTCCCTGTAGGCTGTATCAGTCCTTTAAATTTGTACTCTGTAAAATTGTGTTGCTTTTTCGCCTTTGGATAAACTTTTGATTATTGCAGAGGTGCACTGTTCGGGGTTCAGTTTTATTTCTTATTCCAATATAGACAACTAACCAAGATTTTACACATGAAATCAATCTTTTAATCACTATCTACTTATTTTGGGCAGGATGGCTATATGCTGGAGTTAGTAGCAACAGACATGGGGAAAGGTAGATCATTTAACCTCAGCCATGCTTTATTTTGTTCAAAGTCTCGTAATATTTTTGAGTGTTTATGGATGATGCTAACAGAATTGTGCGTCATACGCATACTGTATCCTTTTAGTTTATCTGTTTCCAGTGTTCTTTGAGTAGCATACAAACCATCTTTTGTGGTTCTACCATACACTGGCTCACTTCACTGTGCACTGAAATAATTGTACAGAGTTGTATACTTCTCCTGTCTATGGTGTCCTCTATGTTTTAGCCAATTAAGACTACTAATCTATTGATTCACTCACAGCTCTAAGCTTACATTTATTGTTCTTATAGGTGTTCCTGTTGGATACTACTCTTCTTCTTTGAAGGAGCTACTAGGAGCCCAAGGTGATTTAGAAGGGAATGAATCTGAGTGGCTCGAGTTGTCACCAGCTGATTCCACTGTGAGATTCTTTGTAGTAATCTTTACAAGTATCTCTGTCCATATTTTGGTTAATAGCTCCACTCAACTCTCTTTTGTTGATTCTTAATATTGCAGAAGACAACTCAAGCAGACACATCCTCAGTCTCATGTGGAAGAATAAAGTGTTCCGTCCTTCTTTCACCAAGATCAGTGGTAGCCAACACAGATAAAGGCTTCATTAGGGACCGAAATTCTGGGTCTCTACAAGTTGGGCCTACCAAGGATGGCCCCTGGACCACAGTGAGACTAAACTATGTTGCACACGCTGCCTGCTGGCCATTAGGAAATGCTGTAGTTGCAAGTGAAGTCCTTGTAGAGGATGGAAATAGATATGTGAATATCAGATCTTTGGTTTCAGTTACCAACAACACAGATTTAGTACTCGAATTGTGCCTCCAGCTTGATGCTTCTAAAGAGAATTTGGATACCTTAGAAGATTCCAGAACGGATTCCCCAAAAGATGCCATAGAGACAGATGTACAGAAACAGATTGTCATTGGAGAACTGAAACCTGGAGAAAGTCTTCCACTTCCACTTTTTGGACTTGTCCATTCTGGATTATATGTTCTCCAATTAAGACCTACTCTAGATGATGATCACAAGGAATATTCATGGAGCTCTGTAATGGATAAGCATGCAGTGTCAGAAGATGATAGTAGGCCCAAAGAAACTTCTGGAATACATGTTTCAAATCTGAATGAGTCTGAGGAACTTCTATACTGCTCTGAGATAAGTGGAACATCATCAAATCCGTCACATGGAATGTGGCTTTGTTTGGCCATTCAAGCATCAGAGATCTCTAAGGACATCCGTTCTGATCCTATTCAGGATTGGAATATTGTGGTGAAGTCCCCTCTATCTATCACCAATAATCTTCCTCTAACAGCTGAATTTTCTGTTCTTGAAATGCAAAGAAGTGGCCATTTTAAAGCATGCTCTAGAGGTGTATTTACTCCAGGTGAAACAGTGAAGGTCCTAAATGCCGACATTAGAAACCCCTTGTACTTTTCTCTGTTTCCACAACGGGGGTGGCTCCCAATACACGTGAGATATTACATTCACATTTCCTTTTTCCCATTCAACCCTTAAAACATTTTTTCTCCAATTGACATGATTTGTCTTTTGTAGGAGGCTGTGCTCATATCTCATCATTCTCTTGATCCAGCAAAAACATTAGGTTTAAGAAGTTCAGTTTCTGGGAGGTTCGAACACATTCGTTCATATTTATTTATTTATTTATGCTTATTTTCATATGCATTTGTTGTTGGTATATGCAGGGTTGTTCATGTAGTTCTTGAACAGAACTATGAAATGGAAAGGCCTTTGGCACCCAAGGCTCTAAGAGTTTATTCTCCATATTGGTTGACGATTGCTAGATGTCCGCCACTTACATTCAGGCTTGTAGATATGTCTGCAAAAAAAGCAAAACGAAACCCTTTCAAGTCAAAAAAGACAAATGAGGTAATCTTAGAGGAGATAACTGAGGAGGAATTTCACGAAGGCTATACCATTGCTTCAGCTCTCAACTTCAAACTGTTGGGCCTCTCTGCTTCCATTAGCGACAATGGGAATGATCATTTTGGGGATGTTACAGATCTTTCTCCACTTGCTGACATGGTACTAATTTTTATCTACTTACCAATGATTTTGCTTTTTTTTTTTTTTTTTTTTTTTTTTCTGTGAACTCTATGAATTCATTTATCTTCTATGTGGTTTCTTAGGATGGTTCGTTGGGTGTCTCTGCTTATGATGCCGACAAGAACTGCATGCGCCTGTTCGTATCATCAAAAGCAACCCCCTATCAGTCTGTTCCAACAAAGGTTCGTTACCAACAGCTTTTTAAAAAATTTAGTTGGTTTACATTTTGTCCAGAACTTAAAAACTTTTTTCATTGTCCACATTAGGTAATCAGTGTGCGTCCGTTTATGACATTCACCAATAGACTTGGTCAAGATATATATTTGAAGCTAAGCAGCGAGGATGAACCGAAATTGTTGCGAGCATCTGATGTACGAGTCTCCTTTGTTTACCGTGAGACTGACCAACCTAGCAAGCTACAGGTGAGTAGGGGTCCTTTGTGTGTGTGTGTGTGTTTCTTTAATTATGCAGTTTTTATCTATTTATTATAGTGATACATTCCTTACATATTGTTTATCTGGTAGATCCGTGCTGAAGGCACAGAATGGTCATTTCCTGTTCAAATTGAGAAGGAAGACACCATATTTCTTGTTTTGAAGAAGGAAGATGGCAGTCAGGAAATTTTAAGAACTGAAATTCGAGGTTATGAAGAGGGATCACGTTTCATTGTTGTACTCCGTCGTGGACCAAGAGATGGCCCTATTAGGTACACACACATCGTATAACTTTATCAACAGGAAGAATAATTCAAGCCCACTTGTACTTATTTCCATGCTTCTGCCTTACTTACTTGTGGAAAAATTATGTTTGACAGGATTGAAAACAGAACAGCTGGTAAAGTTGTTAGAATTCGCCAGTCTGGTTTGAATACTGATGATTGGATCCGGTTAGAGCCTCGTGCAAGTACCAAATTCTCATGGGTGGACCCGTATGGTGAAAAGTTTATAGATACTGAGGTGCACAACAATAATGAGGTTACAGTATGTAAGCTTGATATGGATAAATTGGGAGTTAGTTCAGAATGTTGTGAAGGAACGGGATTACTCTTTCATGTTGTAGAAATGGGTAACATCAAGGTTGCTAGGTTTGTGGATGACGTGGCAACAGGTTCACATTCAGATGGACTTAGTAGATCTATGGCAAGTTTTGAAAATTGGAAGAGTGCCAACATGCCAACCACAGAAAAGGAAACTGCAGCTCCTTTGGAGCTCATTGTTGAACTGGGAGTCGTTGGGGTTTCTCTTGTGGACCATAGACCAAAAGAGCTTGCCTACTTTTACCTGGAGAGGGTTTTTGTATCTTATTCAACTGGCTATGATAGTGGGACCACAAGCAGGTTCAAGCTGATACTAGGCCATCTGCAGCTTGACAACCAACTTCCTTTGACATATATGCCTGTGCTTTTGGCACCTGAAGAAGCCTCTGATATGAACCACCCAGTTTTCAAAATGACAATTACAACATGCAATGAGACCCCTGATGGTATTCAGGTCTACCCATATGTCTACATACGGGTAATCAGCGGCTCCCTTGTTGTCTTTAAAACTTCCCTAATATATAATATATATTAATACTTCATGTTTTGGTGTTAATATTGTAGGTAACTGACAAAATTTGGAGGATAAACATTCATGAGCCAATAATCTGGGCTTCGGTAGAGTTCTTCAGACATGTTCAACTTGATCGTCTCCCCCAAACATCTAGTGTGGCACAAGTTGATCCAGAGATACGTGTCAAGTAATAAATCTTCTATAATGACTTACTTGTTAACAATACATGTTGTGCAAACAAAATGGTAAAACCATATTTTGATTTTCTTTTTTACAGTCTGATAGACGTTTCAGAAGTCCGGCTAAAATTATCCTTGGAGACTGCACCAGCTCAAAGACCTCATGGTGTTCTAGGTGTATGGAGTCCTATACTATCAGCGATTGGGAATGCGTTCAAACTTCAGGTTAACTCTTATGGATTCAGCCACTCTGTTTTCTGGTGGCATTGTCTATAGCTGAATACCACTGGAACTCATAAAAATGTATTTTATGTGCAGCTCCACCTTAGGAAAGTAATGCACAAAGACAGATATATGAGAAAAAGTTCTGTTATTCCTGCCATTGGTAACCGCATCTGGAGAGATCTTATCCATAATCCTTTACACTTAATTTTCTCCGTGGATGTGTTGGGTATGACAAGCTCCACATTGGCTTCTCTAAGTAAAGGATTTGCTGAGCTCTCCACAGATGGACAGTTTCTACAACTGCGCTCAAAACAGGTTTAACTTTTTTCTTTTTCCCTAGTGAAAACACATTATAGTAGAAGTGAAATGACAGCATACCTAAGTAATAAATTATGTTGGCAGGTATGGTCAAGAAGAATAACAGGGGTAGGGGACGGATTTTTACAAGGGACAGAAGCTCTTGCACAAGGTTTTGCTTTTGGGGTGTCTGGCGTAGTGAGGAAACCTGTTGAAAGTGCGAGAGAGAATGGTATTCTTGGACTTGCTCATGGACTTGGGAGAGCCTTTCTTGGATTTGTGGTACAACCGGTGAGTGGAGCACTGGATTTCTTCTCATTAACTGTGGATGGAATTGGTGCAAGTTTTTCCAGGTGTCTAGAAGTTATAAACAACAAAACCATCATACAAAGGATTCGAAATCCACGTGCCATTCGCGCAGACAATGTCCTCAGAGAATATTGCGAGAGAGAAGCTGTTGGCCAGATGATACTTTACCTAGCAGAAGCCAGCCGGCGATTCGGATGCACCGACATATTCAAGGAGCCATCAAAGTTTGCATGGTCTGATCTTTATGAAGACCATTTCCTTGTTCCATACCACAGGATTGTTTTGGTAACCAGCAAACGAGTCATGCTGCTTCAGGTACACCTTCCCCTTTCCTAATTCCAACTCCTATCCCCAATTCGAAACGCAATATAATATATATATAACATATACATTAATTACACAGTGTCTGTCTCCTGATAAAATGGATAAAAAACCATGTAAAATCATGTGGGATGTCCCATGGGAAGATCTGATGGCACTGGAGTTAGCAAAAGCTGGTAATCCAAAACCTTCACATCTAATCCTCCATCTCATAAACTTCAAAAGATCCGAAAGCTTTGTGAGAGTCATCAAATGTAGCACCGAAGATGAATCGGATGAAAGCGACCCCCAAGCTGTTAAAATATGCTTGGCAGTTCGTAAAATGTGGAAAACTCATCAATCCAGCTTAAAAAGCCTAGTTTTAAAGGTCCCTTCCAGCCAGAAACATGTATCCTTTGCTTGGAACGAGACGGATTACAGAAACAACACCCGTAACCAAAATAAGTCCATTATAAAATCAAGAGATGTTCTGTCCACAGCCACCGACAAGACCAGTTTCGTTAAACATGTTATCAATTTTTCCAAACTCTGGACCAGCGATCAAGATTCCAAAGCCCGACATCCTTTTTCCAAAAAGAATGTTAGCACCCCCCATCTCAACCTTATCTTTACTACTTTTGTTTCCCAATTAAAAAATGTAACATTGTATGCTGTTTTTGTTTTTAACTCAGGTTGTAGAGGACAACACAATATGTAGCTTCTGGCGCCCAATCTGCCCACCCGGGTATATTTCAGTTGGGGATATAGCTCGCATTGGGACCCATCCTCCAAATGTTGCTGCAGTGTATCAAAACACAGATAGACTATTCGCACTTCCATTGGGCTACGATTTGGTACTAACAAATACCAATTCATTTTATCATACATCCACCCGTCTTTTTTTTTTTTTTTATATATATAAAGAAGTGGTTGTTTGGATTTAGGTTTGGAGAAACTGTGCTGAGGATTATGCAAGTCCAGTATCAATATGGCGACCACGTGCCCCAGAAGGTTATGTTTCGTGTGGTTGTGTTGTTATGTCGAGTTTCACAGAGCCAGAAGCTGATGTTGTGTACTGTGCGGCGGAATCGATTGCTGAGGAGACGACATTTGAAGAACAACAGGTTTGGTCTGCACCAGAGTCGTATCCATGGACATGTTGTGTTTATCAAGTGCGTAGTCCGGCTCTTCATTTTGTAGCCTTACGTCAACCAAAAGAGGAAGCCGAATGGAAGGCTATGAGAGTTATTGATGAATCAGTATCCGTGTCAGAAGCTTCATCGTCATCTTGTTGATGTAAAACTAAAACAATATTGATTGCACTCTGTACAGAATGTACAAAAACTTGAGTTTCTGTTTCCGTTTTGAATTTTGGTTTGGTACATAAAAGAAATAAAGATAAAGATGATCGAGCAACAGATATGCACATAAACAAACCTCGTGAGTGAGTAAAATGGATACATGCATTTTCAGTTAAAACTATCAAATGTATATGCATTTAGCCTTTAAGTAGGTGTCCGTGTTTAGTTCCTATTATTGCCATAAATAGGATTTCACGAGGTGACCTCATGAGGAACCTACTCCATATTTTGCAATAATTTGGTTTTGCCAAAGATGGTCGACACATTGCTTATTGCTATACATACACCAAAAAAAATCATTTTACTTTGGAAAGATACAAATCCTATATACGCTTTCTCAAAAACTAATCTAATCGTGTTCCTCAAACCTCGATGCTAAAATGAGCATAAACAATTGGAAAATATCATCTCAGCTCTCAGCACTTTACAAATGAAAGCGACAATAGGGACCTAGGACGTACAAATATCTGTAGATATTTTCATCTTTTCGACTTTTGAGTTTATTTCTTTAGATTTTTACAAAACATGGAGATATTTTCATGCCCCCTACCCAAAACCCCACCATCGACGTTACCTCAGTGTGCTTTGGAACTGATCATGTGATGGATACTATATTAATCTATATATTTATTTATTTTTAAAATTTTTGTAAACAAAATATTTTTGTGCAAACTAGTTTTTCCAACTAAAGCAATTTAGGATGCTGATGAAAATATAATTAAGGGGTTATGTTTGGCATACTAGCTGATAAAAAATAACGTTTGGTAAAACAAGCTGAAAAATATGAAATGACGGACATTTAAAAGAATGTGTTTTTATAAGTAATTATAAGTATATTTGGAAAATTTTAGAAAAACTCATAAAAAGATAGTCTAAATAGTTTTATAAAAAGCTAGCTTATAAGTTACATTTTAATTTGTCAAACATGACAACTTAAAAATATTAAAAAATAAGCTAGCTTTTCGGCTAACTGTAACGTGCCAAACGCAACCTAAACCTAAAAATTGATTTCTCGCCACCAAGATACATTGTTCGCCCTTATGCTTTAAAACGTTACAATTTCTATCCGAATACATATTTACTTTTTTACTTTCGTTTTTCTTAATTACAGCTATAAGTACATACAGGTTATAATTATATGTTTTAATTGTTATGTCGTTTGAATATTTCATAGCTTCAATAATTCCCTATTATTCAAGGATTTTTAGCTGATTTGATCTTCGATTTCATTTAAAATCTTTAAAATCTTCCTTCTTATTTTACTGATTGGTTGCTATGTAACATTTCTTTCATTCAATAAAGTATATATTCCGGATCCGCTTTCTTTCTAATCTTCATTCATAATATATAGCTCCAACATCTGGTATCATAGCCTTTTTGCAGGACCTGAGTGAAAATAAAATATCTTGAAAAGATAATTTATGTGGAACATAAAGTGTTTACGTTTCCGTCGAGAGATAACCACAATTTATATATAAAAAAAAGAAAAAAAGTGAAGTCAGAATGGTAGATGCCGATTTTGGGGACCATTAGTATTACGATCGACAAAAATATATATTTCCTTAGGGTGTCAAATTTTCCAAAAAAAAAAAAAAAGCGTCTAGTCATAAAATTGTCACCGTTTTCTTGTCATTATTATTCATGTGTAATATATACTTGGCTAGCATGTTTTCCAGTAAAGTTAAAATTAAAAAAAGAAACATATCGACACGGTATAAGACTTGTTAAGCAAGTATTTGAATTAAATACTGACAATATCAAGTTATCGACCTACATAATTATGTCAATTTTATTTTGGCAATTATATACTTTATCTTTGCTCACAACATTATATGTTTGTTATTTTGCCTAAAATAAAACATTTTTAATTCTCAACCACAGAATTTAAATTCTGAGAAACGTACTAATATCCAAGTCAAAAAAAAGAAAAACTAAAATAATAATATTGTTGCTTTATAAATATTGCAATATTTTTATATTTTGAATGTCTCATAAAAAAATAGAAAAAGATTTTTTTTTGGTTATCGTTTCAAATAACTTGATGCTCTCGAATCGGGTTTATAAAGATTTTTTTTATTTAGTAATTGCTAATTTAGAAGTTTATTAAAGTCTCCAATATTTTTTAAAAAAATTCTACATCTACTCAAACCATGTAATTTTATAAAAATTATTACCCGTCAGCTTTAAATGGATTTTTGGCTTCACACTCCATCATTTAAACTAGGGGTGAGCATACGACCGATCAGTTTGGATTCGGAACAAAAACTGATAATTCGAGAGGACTGATAACCAGAATGGTTAGCCTACACCGATGCCGATCTTGGTTTTCACAATCAATATCCAGTTGGAACCGGTACATATGCTTATGCAATTGGTACAAGTAGAAAATGTCGAAACAAAACAATTCAGCTTCAATACCCAATGATCTTGGGACTATAACTCAATCAATATGTACCAAAATAACATGTTTTTAAACTATATGTTGGGGAAAATTAAATGTCATTCCAACTTCAAAGGATAGTGTAACACCTAGTTTCAGGATGTTTCTTAATTCATGATTGTGGTCCGTAATTCGATCAAGTAAAGGCTTTGGGATTCAAGAGAATAAAGTTTAGACCTTATTGAATGTTGATAAATATTGGTTATGAGATTTAAGCCCTTGATTTGTGTATTGGAACATAAGGGTAAAATGGGAAAACTTATATGTCGAGCTTTTCATTATCTAATTGTTTAACTAAAACAAGTTACGTGGGCTTAGTGGTGTTGGGCCTTATTTGATTGGGCTTGCTGAGGCCGTACGTTGGGCGTAATGGCCCATTATGGAGCGTGAAGGCATTTCACGCGTACGAGGAGGTACGCGCAACGTACGTGGTCAGAACCAAGATACCCTAATTTTTAGCGTTCCAACCTTATATAATGTCCTTAAGTACCATGGGTTAGTCCCTTATCAGCATCTCACATCCAGAAACCCTAAAATCGACCCCCATTGTTATCTTGGTGTGTTCTTGACCTTGTGGAGTGCATCTTTGGTAGTTTGGAGCCTTGGGAATAAGAAAAAGAAGAAGTTGGGGAATGAGAGTGGTTGGAGTTAAGCTTGAAGATCCGGGTTATCTTCATCTTTTGGCACTCATTTGAGGTATAAAGCTTAGAACTTGCCTTGATAATGCTTAGATCTTCTTTGTTTGAGTTTTGTGTCTTTTTGGTCCCATAAATGAGATCTTATGAGCTATTGTCATTTCTGGAGCTTAGAGTTGTCACTCTTGGTGTTCATTTGGTCCTTGAGTCATAAAGTTGCCATCTTTGAGGCTTTGAATCATCCATGAATGAGTTTTAGTCATTTTTGTGGAAGTAGATTGTCATAATTCAAGTTTGGGTTCATTTGGGGGGCATGTAAGCCATCAAGCTGTCGACTTTATGGTTTAAGACGTTTCATATGACTCAGATCTGTATTTGGAACCCTAGGTCTTAAGGATTTAAGAGTTTGTTGGGATTATAGCTTAATAGAAGGGTACGCTGAGCGTACTAGTCAGTACGCGCAACGTACAAGACATGCAACCTGTACACTTAGCGTACAATTGAGTATGCCCAACGTACTCAATGAATTTGGGCTTCGCGTCTTTTGGGCTATTTTCTTGGACTTTGTGTCTTGGGACTTAGTGGGCCATTTGGAATCGAATCTTTGGGATAGGGAAGAATTATTGGGCCTTGGGGCTAAGGCCCATGCAAAGGGATTGGGCCTAACTGGAAATTGGGCCATATGTTGGGCCTTGTTGGATTTTTATATCTTTTGGGCAATTGAATTATGGTTTAGGGTTTCATTCTTGGACCGAGTTATGTTAGGGGTAAAAAGACTCGGGGAGCTATAGGACCAACAGTCAGGGATCATTGGTCTCATTCAACTTATTCGAGGTGAGTTTCCTCACCGGGTTTAATGAGTCTAAGGTACCAAGGCCGGACCTTACTTGATTAAGTTGATATATTTGTTGTCGGTGTGATACTAGTATGTTTTTGTATATGTATGATTCATTGGGCGGGCCTGTTATGCGAGTGTACGCGAGGCCCGTATGTCATTAGGTGGCGCCTATTCTCCGAGTGTGGGCGGGGTCCGTTATGTAATATGTCTGGTATCTGGTATCTTATAGAACTCACTAAGCTTTGTGATTACGGTCTTTAGTTTATGTTTCAGGTACTTCCGGTTCCAAGGGGAAGGGCTCAGGCTAACTGCATCGCACACACCATAAAGATTCTTTTTATGGGACACACTCTGATTTTCATGATGTTGACACTTTTATTTGTTTAGGATGTATAAACAATGTTTGGAATACTGTTTTTACTTGAATCAAAAACGAACTTTTTGGATCATAGTTTTTGGTTGTTACAAGTTGGTATCAAAGCCTTGGTTTGTGTGATTAGGGCACACTCTCAGGGTTGTATGTGTGACATCCCCATTTTTACAGACAGAAAAGACCGATTTTGTTTATGCTTTATAAAAATCAGAGTATCTCTTTTAACAAAAAATGTTGCGGAATTTGTTCCCAGAAAAACATGATAATCGCGTTATCAAAGAATTTCTAAAGAAATATATTTTTATTCACATTTAAAGCATTTGGGATGTCATCGTCAATACAAAAACATATGTATAAACAGAACTTACATTCATTTACACTAGTGATCTACATCTCTTTTAAATCTCTTAGTGCAATGTGACTTCATATCAACACCTGTGATATAAATAAACTGAGTGGGTCAGGTTGGGAAACCTGGTGAGTACATAGGGTTTTCAACCCACAATAATATAATTATTTTGTTTAAATAATCAAACAATCAACCCAATTACCCATCCCCATTATCTTCTTTATTCTTAAGGATCTACCCTAAGAATCAACTATTTCTCATTCATTCATTCCTAAGGATCATCCTAAGGAAACAACATGAAGTCCATTGTTGCCAATGATACATTGGTCAAGTGCAGCTGCTAATATTGTCACTTCGGCGCAGCTGCTAGAATTAGGACATTTTCTATGAGGCGCTTTTGCCGGTATTGACCTTTAAACGCTACTGTCATGGTCATAAGGCTCCCTATTAGGCGCAGTTGCCGATACTGTCCTTAGAGCACAGCTGCTAGGACGTTTACCGTAGATCTAAATCATCTACGGGTTGTGGCGCAGCTGCCAGTGCTCATATATAGGGTACTAGGTCCACTGCTGCCAATGTATACCTATAGGGCACGAGGTCCGTACTACTAATGTTCCTCTATTT